TTTATGATCTTCAGAGTTTAAACACTTGCCTAAACTCTATCAGAAATAAACAGAATGCAAAAAATGATTTCACACTCTCATTTTTCCAGGGTATGAATAATTTTGAGCTTAGTCACATTTTCTATGGAGAAACTCTGAGCCTCTTTATGTCTCTATCGCCAAATGTCTGCTTTATTTTTTTCTTCATTTTCTATGAAGCTTCAGCTCTTATCAGTCAGCGAGGCGCTGATGAAACGTTGGGTCTAAACAGGCCATTTTTCTTAGATGATGATTTGTGTCTCATTTAAAGGAGCATTAAGGCGTGAGGTTTGCTCAGTCTTGGGGTGGGAGACAGATGACACCCCAGAGGAGGAAGGAACACTGCCTGGATTTATCTATGTAAGGGGAAGCTGTCAAACTGAATCGATAGGGGGAGGAGCGATGGCGCTTGCAACACACTCCGAGAGCCATCTTCTCACATGTTCTCATTTTTCTTTCAAAATGCCAGCACTAGACTTATCTGTGGGTCAGAATCAATTTTTAATTTTGTATGGTAATGATGAACAAATTACTGAACTGCATTATTCTTCAAAGTTGCATTTCATTAAATAAAAAGAAAATGAATGTACTTTTAGAGCAGGCATCAGAGCTCTTAGCAGAGACTTTGTCACTTATGGTAGATGGAAGAGTAAAACTGTTGATGAATGGACGTCAGTAACCAAACATAAAGTTACTTAGAAATTCAAACAAGTAATTTGGTTTTCAGAACTCACTGATTTCATTTGTGGTTTTATTGAGGAGGAGAGAAAGAAGTCCAGTTGAGCCCACTGGGTCTTCTTTTCCCGTCCAGAACCAGAAGTGGCGCTAATGCTGCTGTTAAAATAGTATTTTTTTTTCAGTCAATAAATGTTGTTTATCTTCCCTGTTGGAGGGTGAGAATCAATCACACCAGACACTGTATAGGTCAAAAATAATTTTAGACTAAAATTAAAATTAAAGCCATAAACTAAAGTTTATGGTTTTAGTTACTTTGAGAATCTCTTAAGGTAATATATTGACAATGACCTAATAGTGAGAGTTTATCCTCTCAAAAAAAGAGGAATAAAGTTTTATTTTGTGAAGAATACTTTACAAAATATTTTAGATATCCAAAAGCACGACAACCTGAAAGAATGAATATAATGGAAGTAAAAACCACATTCTATAGAAACCATAAATAATATACACCATGATGTTTCTGGAAACACAATTGGCTTTCAGAAAGTATTAATCATAAGAATGGAAATGATCAAATAAATTTTAATTTATCATGCGATTAATTGATTCATTGCCTATTGTGACAAGCTTACTTATTGGGCCTTTTCTGAACCATTCCAACATCATCCCCACCCCTCACATCTCCTTTTTCTCTACTGAAAGCAGGCTCTATGTTGTATCCTGAGATTTCTTTGAGTGTGCAAAAACTGTAGAAGTACAAGTTATGCTGACTCTGACTTTAAACTTATTTTTCCAACTTGGATTCAGAAGAAAAGTTGCTCAGTCATTAAACGCGGTTTATTGGACGCCTGTGTTTTCATAGTGATGGCTATGGGGGAATGCTGTGTGTAAGGGATGACATTCCCCTGTCATTAGAACTCAATTAAGATGAAGAGATGTTGCAAATTTTATACAAAGCGTTGCAGACAAATGCCATATGTTCTCACTCTTCCTTGTTTTTACATTTTCTCCTTCTTTTTCTAAGCCAAGTATTCTGAGACATGGTGGTATATGTTAGATGGCATCAGTAAATACATTTATTTTCATGCATTGTTTTATAAAATTGATTATGACCTCATAGCAGAGTTATGATTATTCCACACAGTTGAGAATGATATATGTGTGGATTGTAAAATGAGAAACTGTAGACATATTAAATGATAATTATGTTGTTGTTTAAGAATGAAAATGTGTAGAATGTGCCAGTTTTTTTAATCAGATAAATCAATTCATTCTCAACATATTCAAAGGACTACAATAATTTTTACCTTAGATAAGAATAATGAAAACATACCTTCAGTCCAACTCATAAAATTTCCTTATTGTTTATTTATATTGAAACAAAACCTATAAAACATGTAAATGTTGATATAATCTTTCAAGAAGCAGTTTTGAGATTCAAATCTCAGCTGCTGTTTTTCTGACTTAATGTGTCCTGCAGGTCTCCCAGCAGCCTGCATCCATGCAAAGGTTCAGAGACTTCATAAATTTATTGTGGTTTGTGTGGTCAGAAGAAAAACAGAGAAAAGAAATACGGGATAAAAATTTTAGAAATATTTGAGAACATAAGCAGCTGGAGACAATGTGTCAATATTGTCTCCTCTTTTTCGATGTTTGATGCCTTAGCGTAGGCTTCTGTTGCCTTTGGTTACTCATAAAAGACACTCGAAATTCCTTTTTGGATCAAAAACAGCCCGTTGAAAAAATATGGTACAACTGTTTGTATGTCTGGGTTTGTATGCTGATTTAATTTCTAGATAACATATCACTATGCCAAGCAAAATCAATAATTTTAAATAAAATATCCCAATCTGGATGTGAATGATGTTCATGTTGAAAATACTCCAAACAAACACATAAAAAGCTCAAAGAAAGTTTGGCATGAGGAAAGTAGGATTTACAGAGCAGGAATTTGCTTAAATTGGATTTTCTGAATTTCCAACTCTTATCAAATCAGAAAGAATTTGGGACTTAACACATAAAAATACCAGTGGAAACAAGCAAACTGTTTTCTATTCAGGGATTTCTTAAAGGGTTGGATGCAGTCTCATAAGACTGCATGCAAATATTAGGTTTTCTGACTGAATAATTTCATTTGAAACAACAGAGGTCTACGGGGGCTAAAACCTTAGAAAACCCTCAATATGCAGTTCTTATAGGTGTTATATCTTGAAGATGTTTTTATATTGCTCCAATGTAATATTTTAGTATTAAATGTCATGCTTTAATTTACTGGGGCAGAAAATGATCATCATTAGTAACAGAAATAAAGTCTTGAAAACATCAGTGGTGGATTTACTGCAGTAACAAACTTAATTATATTCTAATGTGTTGAATCAGACTGATCTTTGATGAACAACAGATATATGTTTTATGTTGGTTGGGGTGATTTTCTTCTTCATATTATGACGGTTTTTCTCTGATTTCTAATAAATGATATAACTGAGAAATATCAAAAACTCTTTTTTGTGGTAGAACGATGGTACAGTAAACAGTTCACTCACAGGAATAGTCTATGACATTGGCTTGTAGTTGTGGAAAAACTATGAGCCAGATTATTTTTAATTTGTGTGAAGAATTATCCTTTCTCCATTGAGATTCTTGATGTATGAGATTGAAGAAGAGTCAGTGAGTTGAATTCATAAATTCTATTTATTAAGACTAAAATACAGCGGTGGTCCATTTTCCATGCTAACATTATGGGCTAACACACCAAAATGGCCCCTAAAAGATTCTAGTTCCTTTAGTTGGCTTCTATGTAACCTATGCCTTAAAGAGGGCGTTCTCTAGCGTGTCATTTCCTTAGCCATTAGCTTTGTGTGGATGCTCACTCTGTGTGTATACGAGCATGCAAATAGCTAAAAGAGACAGAGGCAAACACAGAAGGATTTATTGCCAACATTTGTTATTTTGTCAATTAGTGTTTAGTCAGCTGCACATATTATTGTCCATAATAATAGAATATTTTTTTATTCTCCCAAGTTGTCAAACCAAAACTAGTTTTATTCTATGGAGCATTAAATGCCCCAAAACCAAACAGCCTGAATGTGAAGTCCTGACTCCTTCCATCCCGCCTACATCCTGCTGTTAATGTGTTGACTCTGTAACACCTTGGAAGTGACTCTAATGAGGAACGCTGCCATCAGCCTTAATGACTTCAATCATCAGAGCCGTGGATTAGGCCTTGCCGTTTCATCACAGTTGAGTTGTAAATGTTGTGCATAAATATGCACTGGGAGGAATATTAGCTTCTCTCTGCACTGTCGTTCTGATTTCATAAAAAGGCAATGAATTGTTAATAGCATGATTACGCTGAAAATAGAATAAGCAGAAAATGGAGTTGGCATTGTGGCTCCCACTGGTTTCCCTCCACCTCATGAAATGAAAGCCTGTTCATTATATGTCAATACTTCATAGTCCATTAGTCTAGCTGTGATCAAATGAATAGTCTCATTACTAATATGAGACTCAATTGCTCCGGTTTAGGGAGATGCTCAGGTCACTTATCACTGTTCAAAAGTATTTTCTCTCCCTTTATGATGCAGATGGATTTGACTTTAAGCATCTCAGTGACACACTGTTGAACCTGTTTATTCACCTTTGTACACGGCTTTCTTAATTAAACTCCTGGAATGAAAGAGCTGCTTGTATAATGTCTTTATTTTACTTTTTAGCAACATGACACATTCATATCTGTTCTTACTGTGCAGTACATGTCCCAATGTAGGTTCTGAACATTATCTACCTCTAATTACATCACATATTTTTGCATTAAGAAAGCTAAATGGCAAGAGCAGAGATGCTTTAGAATAAAAAATGTTTAAATTGAACTAGTACTAAAACATTTCTCTGTATATCATCAGTCATAGAGGGAGTTATTTGAAATGGTTTACAAAAAAAAAACAAAAGAACAGAGATACATTACACTGGAATTCAAAACAAATGTGCACAGAAAAAGAAATACGGAAGAGGATTAGGGCCACTGGAAAAAAAAAAAAAAATGTCCGAAAATTTTTTTTCAGTGGTTCAGAAAAGGTTAAAAAAGAAGAAAAAAATTTTTTGTGGCCCAGAAAAAAAAAAAAAAAAAAAAAAAAAAAAAAAAAAAAAAAAAAAAAAAAAAAAAAATTGTGCGCCAGAAAAAAAAAAAAAAAAAAAAAATCAGTGACAGAAAAAAAAAAAATTGTGGGCCAGAAAAAAAAAAAAAAAAAAAAAAAAAAAAAATCTGTGACAGAAAAAAAAAAAAAATTTGTGGGCCAGAAAAAAAAAATAAAATAAAAAAATTTGTGGGCCAGAAAAAAAAAAAGTCAGAATTCGGACTGATGGGCGCCAGCAGCAGCCACACAGACGCAGGTTGAGTTACGGCGGACAGCCAATGTTCTGGAGAAAATGTCTGATTTAAGCGACTTTTTACGTGCCAGAAGAGTACCAGAAGCGTCCATTGCACTAATGGAAGAACAAAAGGTGAGTAAATCAAATGGGATAGTTCAGTGTCTAAAGCCGAACGGTTATAGCTAGCTGTTAGCATGTTTGTTAGCATACGCGGTTAAAGGAATAAGCTGATTTACAATGTTAAATCACACGGATGAATAAAGGATATAACAGCTGTTAATTGCTGGAATTCTCTCTAAAGTGTTTGGGATGTTTATTTTATTGTTCTTCTGTTTGAATGTTTTACAATTAAACTAAGGTTAGCTGTATATGTCAGCCACCTTCTAAATAAGATGTCTGCTGTGTTAAACTGCAACTTTTAGTTCAGTAGAGGACAGAAACTATAGTACAAAGTGACAAACGTTTATAAACACAGCTAATCAATCCAGTCCTTCCTCTTTTTCAGTAAAATAGAGGACTGAACATTTACTGCTGCTATTATTGTCATTCTCCCCAAACAGTAAATGGCTTTAAGCAGAAACGTAAGGATACAATCTTAAATGTAACTTTGACGTTGATTTACAGAGTAAATAATTGTCCTTTCTCATCTTTTTCTGTGCAGATTGACTGTGATGCCGTAGGTCTCATGGACGATGCAACACTTGAAAACTTCTTACCTTCATATGGAGACAGAATTGCTGTTTTCAACTACTGCAAAAGCAAACAGCCATTGTCCAAAAGAAAACAAGGACTTCTTCAAAAGCTTCGGGACAAAATGAAGAACAGAAAGGAAAGTCCACACGAGACCATGACACATGAAAGTACAAGACAGAAAAAGAGGCCAAAAGGAACAAAAAATGTTGAGATTGGATGGATACATAGTGATGGAAAAACTACCAAACAGGTGAGAGCAAAGCAGGGAGGTGGCACTAGAAAAATTCAAATGGCCACTGATTCTGGATTAAAAGACATTCTTCAAGAAGGAAAGACACTTTTTTTTCCTGATGGAACATCTCCTAAGGGACCTGAAACAGATTTTGAGTTTGAGGTTTGGGACTTTAAACAGAACCTTCTTACAGAAGACACCGGCCTAACTATTGGGAAAATGTATGAAGCAGTGAGACTGTCAATGTTGCGCTTCTACATTGCAACAAAACCAAAAGATGCAGAAGAAGATAACAGTGACACATCTGAAGTTGTGTTTGTTTTGGAAAGCAGTAGCAGCGAATTTAATCCATTACAGGTGGTGGATGTCAGGAGGAACTCTGTTGAAGTCCAACAGAGTTCAGAAGTTTTTGATGATTCCCAAATTACTTTTGGTCCCATTCTTGATGCTGAAGAAGATACAGATGACACATTAATCTATGAGGGTTTTGTTGTTCCCCCCAGTCCAGCAAATCCAGAAGATGCAATAATGATCACTGTACGCAATGCTGACACTTTACATGACCTTATTACTGCTTTCTCTGATGAAGAAATTATGAGAAAAACACTGAACGTAACGCGCATACTTCCAGACAACACCGAAGAAGCAGGCACTGGCTCAGGAATACTGAGAGATGTACTCACTTGCTTCTGGAATGAATTTTATGAGCGATGCACCCTTGGTACAACAGTGAAAGTGCCATTCATCCGCCATGACTTTCAAGCTGAGAAATGGAAGGCAGTTGGACGAATCCTTTTGAAAGGTTACCAAGACTGTCAGTATTTTCCAAATAAAATTGCAATCCCTTTTCTTGAACAAGTGCTTTTCAATAATGTTTACAGTGATCTTAAAGCACATTTTCTACAGTTTGTGAGCAGCCAAGAATGTGAAGTTTTGAGGGAGGCAGTTAAGAATTTTTCTGCTGTTGACCTTGATGATCTTGTGGAAGTTCTTGACAATTATGGCTGTAGAAAAATAATCACTCCTGAAAGTCTCCCTACAATCCTTGATGAAATAGCTCACAAAGAGCTCATCCAAAAATCGATGTTCGTCATTGACTGCTGGAGGGAGATCATCTACCCACATCTGTCCCTCAGCCCAGAAGCACTGACCAAGCTGTTCTCAGACCTGCAACCAACTTCCAAAAAAGTCTGTCAGCTGCTGAAATTTGCTCTAGATTTAACTCCAAAGCAAAAGGAAGTACAGAGTCATCTCAAAAGATTTATAAGAGAGCTGGATGACATAAAGCTTCAGAAATTTATGAGATTTTGCACTGGATCTGATCTCATTGTGACAAACTGCATATTTGTGGAATTTCAAGATATGACAGAGTTCACAAGAAGACCAGTCGGACACACATGTGGAAGTACTCTGCAAATAGCAGATAGCTATGAAAACTTCCCAGATTTTAGATCTGAATTCAATGCAGTTCTTGACAGCAATGTCTGGGTAATGGACATTGTTTGATTCGTCGTGCAATGCATTACTTTTGAAATGTTCAATCAGTACAGCAGAACTACAAAGACACATAAAGAAAAAGTATTTTCAACAGAGAGAAATTATTGTTGTTTAAAAGAAATTGATGGAAGTTAGCCATTTCTATTGGTAGCTCAGTTTTTCACTGAGAATATACAAGTTTCCTTTGTTCTCACTAGTTTTACATCATACAAAGAAGTTGCCACAAAACAAATTAATAGCTGTTTGTTACATCCAAAAGCATCTTGACTTGATCTCAGATCTCCAACTGCTGAATAGAAACCTTAAATGGAAACAATAAAAATATTGTTAGAGAGCTATAAAATTAAACTTGCTTTTAAGCTTTCCTTAGATAAGAAGTAAGACTTTCAAATTCATTTGTTATTTAATAATTGGGTCTACAATAGATGTAGAATACAACAAAAAAATTGATTTATATTGAAAATCTTGTACAGTGTGTCCACACTTGAAACTTGTAAATACGGGCCAGTTTATTTTGAACTTTTTATGTCTGCAAAATGTTTTTCAAACCACGCATCTGTTAAGGAGCATTGAGGTGTTAGTGTTTTGTATTTGCTGTTAAATACAAACATACAATTTAAAGTTATAGAAAACATTCGTCTACATTTTCCTTAATTTTATAAATGTTATTGTCACTAAGCACATGTGCTGTTAATCTGTCATCAATGAAGCTGTGTGATTCTCAGTATGTTTTGAAGAAAACCACTTGTTCCTAATGTTAGAAATAAAAACAATGCAATGGAAAAGCTGAGGTTATTTGAACAAATGTATGCCATTTTGTCATGTTCAAAAACAAGGTATTGATCTAACACCTGTCGACAAGATAGATTTTTTGTATGTGTATTTTATCAATTAGCACTTATTCCATCTGTGCATCTGAGATGACGTTTTTGATAACAAAAGCTTTAATGTTTTATACTAATTTACGGCTGTAAAGGTTATATTCAATCTGAAAGTTTGTTTTAAAAGTTAGGTCATTCTAATGACCATGGTTTTTTTGGATTAGCAAAAGAAATGTTATTTGTTATATTTTGCTAATAAAATGTTACTTTACCAAATACTTTTCTGTTATGGTTTTCAATATGTTAGCTAAGCTTGGCTTTTATTTGAAAATGTCTAATAACCAAAAGTATTGAAATTGTTGAATTTGAAGATAGTTATAAAAACTAAGAAATGTTATGTTTTTTTGGAATTTAGCAAATACAATTTTGTTAATTTTAACACATTTAAAACAACAGTTGGGGTGCTGTGGTGGAAAAGCAAAAGTCCTGTATGGAGACCGCAGTCCTGAATGTGGACATCAGACGTTCCGAGTCATGGCCTGATGACCTTAGTATCACAGTTTCCTCTCTTATTGCTCACTTTCCTGTCTGACCACTGTCTTATCTAACTTCAGATAGTGATAAAAACAAATGACTTTTTTCAACTGTTCCTAAATATTTGACATCAATTGTATTATGAAAAGACTTGGTAAACAAAACATTGAAGTTCATTTTTATTTCACAGACAATTGTTTTCCATGTGTTCAATTTATGACATCCTTTTTGCTCTTCTGCCATTTAGTTCACATCTCAACCATACACTTACAATATCTTTAACAGAACAGCATCTCGTTTTAAACAAAAAAATATATATGAATCACAACGCATACCAATTTAAAAGGACTGACATTTGGCTCATAACTGATTATCATTGAATAACTTTGCATCAGCATTGTTCCTTCAAATGACTGAAAGCGAAACAAACTATGGGTTAGGAAATCATGTCAAACAAACTGCAATTTTAATTTTTATCAGCACAGTAACAGCTTGTACATTAATGTCAGGTCATCAGAACTCTACAAATAAATAATGACAGCAATAAACTTTCATGTTCTGGTAAAATGACGTCAAAAAGGTTCTGTTTGCTTGCATACTTTTCATTCTTTAATTAGATGTAGAGCAGGAAGCCCTGTTTAGAGGGCACCTATCACATTGCAAACACTATCCAATGGCATGATGGAGATAAATAGCAACACTTTTTAAATGATCTTTATGCACACTGAAAGTTGCTAAATACTTTGAAGAATTTCTTCTCTTAACCTTATATACAAATCAGCAGCAATAAGTGGATCTCTTGGGGCCTCCAAGTTGTGTTCTACCATAAGCAGACAACAAAGTTCAAAGACTGTTTCATCACAGGGATATGGACCTTTTGGTGTACACTCTTCCATACACACAGTGACCTCATCCAGAGAAACAGGTTTCAGTCTATCCTCAGCTTTGTGCAGCTCTGGAAATGAGTACATCACCACAGGTCGGCCCGATACTGCACCCCCACTTGCCCGGATTTTGTGTGAGTTCCATGTGTTCACAACATCATCAAGGTCATCCTGCATAAAAACAAACCATAAATGTTTAAAACTAAAAATGTAACTGTAGCTTTTGCTAAAGATGAGGCATATATTAATCAGCATACATAGAAAGTGACCTCTAATCAAAACCAAGCAGCAAGAACAAAATTGCAATTCCAAAACATTTTATTCTGCACATAAAATGATTCCCCAACGTATGGTAAAACTTTGTAATTTACGGATAGAACTTATTTTTAAAACTACACCAAAGGAGTTTAGGGGAACACATTCCCAAGTAATTTAAACCATTTTTATTTTTAGTAAACATACCAGAAGATATGCTTTTAATACCTTTTTTGAAAAAAAAAAAACATTGCAGTGTACCAGTATATACTTTTACCTGAATAAGATTAAGAAAGCAGAATTGGATAAGGCTTTTATCCAAAAAATCTCCTGTGAAGTGACCATCATCCAGAAAGGTTTGAAATAAGTTCATCCAAAACTGTGCGCTCTGTTTACGGAGGGTGGACCACCATCCTTCAATGCGCTGGTTGGATGTACTTCTTCCGTAAAGGAAACTTTTGTCCCCTGCAAAACTGTCTGTGTGGTTTCGCCTCAGAAATATCTGCATTTGTTCAACACAAATGTTTTCTGTGCCTCTGTCGGCACGTATCCTTTCAGGACATCCTTTGACACATGAAACGGTTTTCAAAAAATAACTTGCAATCAGTTTTGGGTCATTGTTCGTGGTATAAGCCTCCATCCATAAAACATGTCGGCTAAAACCATCTATACAGCCACTGATAGCAATGCCATAAGGTTTTAGTTTATCGTAGCCATCCATATGCCAGAGCGCATTTGGTCCTCTGCAATTGTACTGACGTCTTCTCAACCGTCGTGCTCGTCTCAGTTCCACACCTTCTGGGTCAAACAATTTGATTAATTGTCTCACAGTGTCTTGTGACACCACAAATTCATGTTGAATCGCACGAAGATGTAGCCACCGATAACCTTGCATTTGTCCATTAGTCATTATTTGTTGTTGGACAAAGGCTAGCACTTCTTCAAGGTCGGACTGATTCTTTCTTCGAAACAGCCCAAGTCTTCTGCAAATTCTTTTTAGAGTTCGATTACTTAATATAGTATGATGACTGTGCGCTAAAATTTGAAGGATTTCTTTGTTATTTAAAGAGAGTCTGAAGTAAAGCCTAATGGTATCCTAATGGTATCCAAATCTGACATTTTCGAGCTTCTTTCTCTTTAAGAAGGGAACAGTCTTAAACAGAAGGCCTTTTTTCCTCTTGGACAGTTTGTTGATTTAGTAGAAGTTTAAAACAGCAAATCCATCGCCGTGATTTTTCAGCTTTGCTGCGGCATCACAGTCAATCTGCACAGAAAAAGATGAGAAAGGACAATTACTTAGTCTGCAAATCAACGTCAAAGTTACATTTAAGATTGTATCCTTGCGTTTCTGCTTAAAGCCATTTACTGTTTGGGGAGAATGACAATAATAGCAGCAGTAAATGTTCAGTCCTCTATTTTACTGAAAAAGAGGAAGGACTGGATTGATTAGCTGTGTTTATAAACGTTTGTCACTTTGTACTATAGTTTCTGTCCTCTACTGAACTAAAAGTTGCAGTTTAACACAGCAGACATCTTATTTAGAAGGTGGCTGACATATACAGCTAACCTTAGTTTAATTGTAAAACATTCAAACAGAAGAACAATAAAATAAACATCCCAAACACTTTAGAGAGAATTCCAGCAATTAACAGCTGTTATATCCTTTATTCATCCGTGTGATTTAACATTGTAAATCAGCTTATTCCTTTAACCGCGTATGCTAACAAACATGCTAACAGCTAGCTATAACCGTTCGGCTTTAGACACTGAACTATCCCATTTGATTTACTCACCTTTTGTTCTTCCATTAGTGCAATGGACGCTTCTGGTACTCTTCTGGCACGTAAAAAGTCGCTTAAATCAGACATTTTCTCCAGAACATTGGCTGTCCGCCGTAACTCAACCTGCGTCTGTGTGGTTGCTGCTGGCGCCCATCAGTCCGAATTCTGACTTTTTTTTATTATTATTTTATTTTTTTCTGGCCCACAAATTTTTATTTTTATTTTTTTTTTTCTGGCCCACAATTTTTTTTTTTTTTTTTTGTCACAGATTTTTTTTTTTTTTTTTTTTTTTTTTTCTGTCCCTAAATTTTTTTTTTTTTTTCACTGTTTTTTTTTTTTTTTTTTTTTTTTTTTTTTTTTTTCTGGCCCACAATTTTTTTTTTCTGTCACAGATTTTTTTTTTTCTGCGGCACAATTTTTTTTTTTTTTTTTTCTGGGCCACAAAAAATTTTTTTCTTCTTTTTTAACCTTTTCTGAACCACTGAAAAAAAATTTTCGGACATTTTTTTTTTTTTTTCCAGTGGCCCTAATCCTCTTCCGTAAAGAAACGTCAAATGCAGGTTTAAGCAAATAAAAATTAATTAAATTAATACAAAAATGAAAAGTTTTTAATTAAGAAAGAAGAGAGAAAGAGAGAGAGAAAAAGAGAGAAATTAAAAAGCATCTGGACTCTGCTGACTGATGTAGAACACAATTTGTCCCTCTGGATTTTATTCAGATATCCTGAATAAAAGGGTTTGAATATAAAATTTCAAGGTGTTCTTATATTTAATCATAGTAACATTTGAAAAACTATGTATCATTTTATGTACCTTGCAAAGGTTTGAGCTTCTTCGTGTTTATCCATCACATGCACTTCCCATAACATGTGTTGGAAGATTATGGTTATCATGACAAACTCTAAAAACGTTCAAGTGTATAAGTACTTTTACAACACACTGCATGCAATGCTAGAGCAAACATCTTGTAAGCTTGGGTCTTTTCTTGAAGGAAAGAGTTTAAATATTTAGAGATGAATGATTGGCGGACTTGAAAAGAGCAACCTGCTGATCAGAGGGACTTTATCCTTCAGCTGCTATGTACAGGATGGAGGATGGTGAAATGTGTTGAAGATTCTTCATTGAGCAAAAGGTGCATTTGTATATCCAAAAAGTATTTTTGTTCTTTAGATTTTTTTTATAGTGCTCAAATGTGGATTTATTTGCTTGTAAAATAGTCTATAAGGCAAAAAAAAAAAAAAAAAAAAAGAAATCTAATATCAAGATGGCTCTCCTTGTTTGAATAATATAATTGTCTCTTCAAACCCCCTCTGGCTGAAACCCAGTCGAGACCCTTCAGGTTCTCCGGTAGTGTTACGATGAATGTCCTAACCGGCAGTAATGGAAGAAAAGCTGAGCGGCTGACAGCAAAATGTCTCCATTTCTCTACGCATCTTAATATTTCAGTTGCTTCCCCAGCGGTTTCTGTAGGTTCCTCACTGCAGGCAGCAGTTTCCAGCATGGGCTGAATGGCTTTAATTAGAGGAAGAGGGTTCTTATCACAAGAACATCTGCAGCTGCAGCAGCAGCAGCAGCACTGGGCAGGGAGATCCTGCTCTGAATGTTTTATCAGACCCTGGGCTGGACGCATGGGTTGACGCGTCAAACAGAATGTGAAAAAGTCTGGAGACGTTTCTATCAGCACTGGAAGATGTTTTTATTTTTGGATTTATTTAGGCAGCCTGCAGCCTATATCATTGCCTGCAGCAAGCTGGGAAATTAGGTCAGTTTCATAATGTTGTGGTAGAAGCTCTGCAGCTGCGACAGAGCCTGGAAACAGAAACACGTCTAGGATGGATGCCGGTGAAAATCCTGCTTTGGCAACATGAATCGTGCTTAAGAGCTCCAGAAGATTCAGTGGAGAACTTCGGCTTATTCTTAGACACATTCAAAAGGTTAGCAAAATGTTAAAGACAGAGGAGTTTCACTCAGGTTCTTTAGACTTTTCTTCATTGTGTTTTAACAATAAATTATTCGAAGGATTATAACTCAGAACATCAAAATTTAAACGTGGCCACCCGTTTTCATGTTCTAAACACATTCAACCCAAATTCAAACCTGATTTTCATTGTATTGGACAATAATACTGGTGATGCCAAAGAAAATATGGCAGAAAATGAAACAGAAAATGATCTAAGTGTCAGCTAATATATTTAACATTTTTATATTTCACAAGAGAAATTGTGACAAATGTAAATGTTTGAGAGAGTGAGTGTTGAGCCTTTAGTTAACAGTTTTGACCAGTCAATAAGTTTGCTTTTCTAAGTATTTTTTACTTTGTGACAGGAGAGTAATCTTGTTAGAATGTGATGTAATATTTCTTTCGTTTACCTGTAAAGCTAATTATTCACTTGCAGAATTCTACAAAAACACAATTAACAGATTAAACCAAATGTTTAATCCATAAAAAGAGATCTATTTTAATGATTTTGTAAGTCTGTAGTCAACATGACAGAGAACTAAGCTCTGTGAAACCATCTAATGCCGGGTACAGGAGCTGCAGAGGCCAAAACACTGGTCAGCTGACCAGCTTCGTTTTTTGTTTTTATGGCGGTTGGGAAGCATCACTACACAGCGCCTCATGCTGCACAGGTTCAGTTACATGATGTCAACATTTGATATTGCAATATACATTTTTCTGATGTCAAAATTTCCACTGGTATCACTGTAAATGAGATGGTATGGAACACTTCCTTTACTTTAGGAAGAATCACGGTTCAGAAAACAATCAAAGTGAATGACAGTGAAGCAGGAACGTGTTCATTTATTCCCTGACCCTCTAAAATTAAAAATGGAAATAACATCAACCTGTATCCATGGATGCAGGCTGCTTGACCCTCAAACAGACAAACACACATCCCAGTTTTTACATCAGCTGAATGTTTCACTCAAAGACATACAGTTATCACCACTAGGGTGGTGATAATGTGCTGGTTTCTAGACGCTCAGAAGAGCAGATGGAAAAATTAAGTGCTATTTTTCCAGAATATAAATACAGTGTTTTTTATATCATTGTTGTCCCTGCGGTGTAAATAATCTACACAGGCAAAAAAGCAGATCTCTACTCACTTTATTTATTTATTTTTTATAAACTCAATGTGTCTTCCTCCTCATGATCTGACCTGCTGTTTTTTTAATAAAACTATAAAAGTATTATATTATTTTATATATAAGATACAGGTACTTCTCAAAATATTAGCATATTGTGATAAAGTTCATTACTTTTCATAATGTAATGATAAAAATTTAACATTCACATATTTTAGATTTATTGCACACTAACTGAAATATTTCAGGTCTTTTATTGTCTTAATAATAATTGTGGCATACAGCTAATGAAAACCCAAAATTCCTATCTCAAAAAATTAGCATATTTCATCTGACCAATAAAAGAAAAGTGTTTTTAATATAAAAAAAACATCAACCTTCAAATAATTATGTACAGTTATGCACTCAATACTTGGTCGGGAATCCTTTTGCAGAAATGACTGCTTCAGTGCGACGTGGCATAGAGGCTATCAGCCTGTGGCCCTGCTGAGGTGTTATGGAGGCCCAGCATGCTTTGATAGTGGACTTTAGCTAATCCAGAGTGTTGGGTCTTGCGTCTCTCAACCGTCTCTTCACAATATCCCATAGTTCAGGTCAGGAGAGTTGGCAGGCCAATTGAGCACAGTGATACCAGGGTCAGTAAACCATTTGGCACTGAGAGCAGGTGCCAGGTCATGCTGAAAAATGAAATCTTCATCTCCATAAAGCTTTGCAGCAGATGGAAGCATTAAGTGCTCCAAAATCTCCTGATAGCTTAGCTGCATTGACCCTGCCCTTGATAAAACACAGTAGACCAACACCAGCAACTGACATGGCATCCCAGACCATCACTGACTGTAGGTACTTGACACTGGACTTCTGGCATTTTGGAAATTCCTTCTCCCCAGTCTTCCTCCAGACTCTGGCACCTGAATTTCCGAATGACATGCAAAATTTGCTTTCATCTGAAAAAAGTACGTTGGACCCCTGAGCAACAGTCCAGAGCTGCTTCTCTGAAGCTCGGGGCAGGCGCTTCTGCCATTGTTTCTGGTTCAAAAGTGGCTTGACCTGGAGAATGCGACACATGTAGCCCATTTCCTGCTCACGCCTGTGCAAGGTGGCTCTGGATGTTTCTACTCCAGACTCAGTCAACTGCTTCCGCAGGTTCTCCAAGGTCTGGAATCGGCCCTTCTCCACAGTCTTCCTCAGGGTCCGGTCACCTCTTCTCGTTGCGCAGCGTTTTCAACCACACTTTTTCCTTCCCGCAGACTTCCCACTTAGGTGCCTTGATACAGCACTCTGGGAACAGCCTATTTGTTCAGAAATATCTTTCTGTGTTTTACCCTCTTGCTTGAGGGTGTCAATGATAGCCTTCTGGACAGCAGTCAGGTTGGGAGTCTTACATATGATTGGGGTTTTGAGTGATAAACCAGGCTAGGAGTTTTAAAGGCCTCAGGAATCTTTTGAAGGTGTTTAGAGTTAATTCGTTGATTCAGATGATTAGGTTCATAACTTGTTTAGAGACCCTTTTCATGATATGCTAATTTTTAGAGATAAGAATTTTGGGTTTGAGCTGTATGCCACAATCATCCGTATTAAGACAATAAAGGGCCTGAAATATTTCATTCAGTGTGCGATGAATCTAAAATATATGAATGTTAAATATTTATCATTACATTATGGAAAGTAATGAACTTTATCACAATATGCTAATATTTTGAGAAGGACCTGTATGTATATATATATATATATATATATATTATATATATATATATATATATAATATATATTATATATATATATATATATATATATATATATATATATATAGCTGACTGGATAGCTCAATACATAAGGCATCAGTATATCACCCGAGAGGGCAGGGTTCGAATCCAGGCAAGACCCTTCAAGCTACTGCCTACCTCATACCATGAGAGATACTAAGTTGCGTAACATGCCAGACGTCGCCCGGCCAAACAAGGCCTGCGTCAGGTGTTGGGAACCAGAGCACCTTGATGTCAGAGCTCCACAAGGATACAATGAAAAGACCAGTAGCACTTGAAACTGCCAAACAGAGGCTCCAAGCCTTGGCCAGCCGCCTAAAGAGATACACAAGGGAGAATGAATCCAGAAGGATTAACCGGCTCTTCTCCACTCAACCAGCTAAGGTGTACTCT